TTGCATGCCTCATTTATTCGTGTAAAAAAATATTTGACATATTTATTAATGATACCGAAATATGCTTTATGTTTCCTAAAAAAAAAGCAATATAAGTTTTGAAATTATATAAATATATATAATTTTTTGAATGATTCGATTATAATCGCACAAACTTTGCGGTTGGTGTTGTACGAGCGACAACTAAGTATCGCATGTCTCATATCGCGTTGATTTGATAATTCAGATTCGTGAAACGATATACATCGTTATTGCGCAAGGCAAGCACGGACGCGAATTGCGCAACGCGAGCAAGGCTGACACGTGTGAGACGGACGAGTCGGGAATCGATCCGAGTTTAATCTTACGTTGCAAGAGGACCGGTTTCCTCCTGAGGAAACTCGATGCTGCATTACATATGCGTGTGCGCGCATTTGATGCATTCGAAATGCATAGTACTCGGCTATAGCGCGAGTTGCAACGCAAATGTACTTTTTACATCATCGCGTCTAGACATCTAATGATCGCAAATCGTATTTTTCATGTGTCGCAGCAATTTCATGATAACTGTTATTTTAACTTTATCTTTTATTATAACTTTAATCGGATAATTCCGATTAAATCGAAACTCGTATAACTCGTCTAAATTAAATATTTTTTTGCGTGTGCAACATAAATAAAAATTTCAATTTTTAATTCAACAATATTGCTTGATATAGAATATTGTTTGTTTAGATGTAACAAATTTACACTCGGGAATGATTGAAAAAAACTCAAGATATATGTTTTCAATTTTATATTCCTATACTAAATTGTGCGTGTAATATGATTTATTCTTAAATTAATTAAGGGTATTTCAATATCAGGGAACGTGCCTCAAATGATTCTCAGAGTGTTAATTAGACAACACTTTTATGATTACGAGCACGACATCGAGGTGTAATTCCTCGATTAAAATTAAGTGGACACTGTTATTTGGACTCCGTCGTAAACATCATAAACTCATGACGTACACGCGATGCGTGCGTTCGCAAAACAGCCTCGTCGTCGCATATATACATATAATGTGTTAAGGGCATTATTTATAATTTGCTGTTATACTGTGCGCGATATACTCGGTTTCGTGCCATTTGCCATCGCGTTTGTGCACACGTAATGCGATAATTTACGTAATTACACATCGCTAAGTTTGTCTGTAATAGCCATTAAACGGCTATGAATGTCGCATCGTCCGTTACTTGATAGTCCGTCTGACACTTATCTATTTTATATGTACATATATGTACATATATACGAATCAGATATGGCAAGTGTAGGAAACTAAAAACGCACACGAGTCGACCAATTATTTCCAGTATCTGAAAAGCCGAAGGCTGCGAGTGAAAATTCAGATTTATTCTCATTTTTAAAAATGATTCAAACATAAATGTTAATTGTACAAATTTCACAGAAGCTGCGTATTTTATTTGTTGCAAATATATCGATGTCCATCAATTGCGGGACACCCTGTATACTCGAGAACCGTCGACGCTCGATGCACACATGTTATCACGAAGCTAACTTTTATCGCGGAGATGACGTACGATTGTTCCGCCGCATGTAAATGTCAGGGGATGCTACTGTCTGACAGAGCCTCTGCATCGCGATGCAGTTATCTGCTCTATCGGGAATGTGCTTCTTCCTACTGTTATCTCACGAAGGGGTTGCGGCATAGGGTGACTCGGACGAATCATTTCTCTTCGATCAATTTCAAATTAATTTTTTTTTATCTGCGAGATCTTGCGATATCTTGTTTTGAAAACCTATCGATTTTTATAAGTATTATTTCATGATATTATTTCATGATATTATTTCATGTTTTTATCGATATCTTCATAAGTATATGCGCGACGGAACAAAATCCCAAGATTAAACAAACTACTTTATTTTCGTGATTCCTTACAATTGTAAAATTATTGATTTTTCGGACTTTTCTTTGGAAAAATTGACGTAAAGTCAAAGAAAGCGTAGATTATAAACACCCTATGAATGCGATCGGTTTTGGGGGTCAATCGATTCGCGACTTGGAGCCGGTCCAATGTTCGTGACACAGCGGAAGCCGTTCTTCCGTATAAGCGATGCCTCTCGCGGGTTTTCGCGTTCTATCGAGCGAATGGCGAAAGCTGGCGGATAAAGCGGACGAGAACTCGATTTCGTTGAGCGCTGCCGAGTCGTACCCAAGGGCGGTCCCTGATGTACACGGTGTTCTCGAGATAAGCCGGACAAACGGAACGTAAAACAGAAACGAACTCCGACATTTTCAACCAACAATGTCAAAAAAAAATAGAAATGACAAAAATATAAAGCAACATTCTTTCTAAATATCTACTTTAAACGATTTTTACGCTAATATCTCGTAAGGTATTAAAAAATAAGGTTATTACTACTAATTTAAATGTTGACATGAATTTAATATTGTTAACACTTTATATGCATTTTATAGGCTTTTATAATATAATACTATTAATTTAATGGTATTTTACTATACAATACTGTTGATATTTAATAATTTCGACATTTCCGTTTATGAAAGACTGATTTTGCCTAAGAAAAGAATGCACAGATTAACGGATGCAAGTGTAAATAATGAAAATTTTTCTTACATTTCCTGTTGAATATATTCCGCTTCTAGTAGTATTCGTACCAAATAATTCCCGTGGGTAGTTTCCCGTATTATCACTTGCTGGAGCGAGCTTTAGGAACTGTGCCGGGAACGTAACAAAGATTGTTCCTCTCTCATCTGCGAGAGAGACAGAATCCGGAGATCGTAGATCTCGCTTTTGGCTTGATTACGCGATAAAACACCGTGAACGAAGAAGCGCACGAATATCTCTTCGGCGCTCGAGCGCCATGAATAAAGCACGTCGAAACGTCTCGAATCGAATTTCCTATCCTTCGTTTGTTTATCACACGCCGTCCCACCGGCTATTAAAATCAATCGATACAAAAGCAGGACATTTGCTTTCTCCCAAAAGGCTTATAAATCGAATCGAACGCATTTTGATAAATTATTGCGAAATTTTTTTTTCGCAAAAATTACATTTAAAGCAGAATCGTCATGATATATGTTCCTTACGTTATTCTAATCAAAAGTGGGGAAACATGAATTGCGCACGGTTGCTCGGACTTTTGCTCGACATTGTACTGTCGCCGAAAATCGAAGTTAGTTCCGACTCGATACTCTCGCAGAGGCTTGTCCGTAATGCTCTGCGTTTAATTGAATCTGCCTGCGACAAGGGACGCGATCGCATCGTCCAATAGAACGCGCTCATGTTTCACGAGAGGATCGCATTAATCCGGGTTCTATGTGTACTCGAGAGTAGGATTACGAGTAATTTCTTTTTAAAGTGAAATTAGTTGAATTTCGGGAGTTGGAATCATTCATTTTTGAATTACTAATCTTGCGATGTTAAATATGCAGAATTAAATTTAAATCTCTGGTTCTTTAATTTAATGAAGGCATTTGAAATTGAGTCTTGTACTTTGGTGAAAATAGTGCAAAGATTTTTATTTTATATATGCTTTTTCTTGTAAAAAAAATGACGATAACGCACTCGTTCGATAAGCGAAAAATTCTGATGTCTGCAGTGTTAAAAAGTTAAGTATTCACGTTAAATATTTTTGTAAATTTTTCGAAAATATGTGATAAGTTTAGTGTAATCTGTCGAAATTCAAAAATAAAGACTATTCATCTTGCAAGTGAATCTCACGAACGGAATTTTTCCGAAAAAATCGAACTTGTGAACAACGCTGTAGGCTCTATGTAACTTGAATTTTCCGTGCAAGTCCGGGGATTTACCGCGCGTCTACGTTTCCTCGTTCAAAATGCAGGTCGTCGCGTGGGCGTTATGGGAAAAGAAATAGCGCGCGTGCATTGTCATTACCGTCCTTACGGTCGCTTTTTTTCGCGCACGCTCGTTGCACTTTAACCCTGAGCTATTATCATGCTGTTCACGTTACAACTGCAATTCGTTCCATTTGACTTTTATCGGTCATCGTTCTATTCGATTTGGAGCAATACATACATACGATAAAAGTTTTATACGATAAAAGTATTATTATTAAGCCAAATCAATTCAGATACCAAAAAATAAAATTTTTATTTCAATTTACATTGTGCAAAAGGACTTGATGTGTGTGCACCTTAATGTAGGATTCTTTTAAATAAGTTGTTGAATAAGCATTTTCTTCTCCGAGACAAATCCGCGAGACATAATTACAAAGAGTTTTTCCTTATCGCTTTAACATCACGTCTCAGTTTATCACTACAAAGTGTTTTCACATTGCCAGTCTTGAATTTGCTGTAGTTTATTAAAATTTTTTCTCCACACGCGCACACAAGCTATCTCGCCGGCGGTATTACGCGGCGTTATTTTGCGCGAGTCATGTCATGCGAAGGTGGCATAATAATTTGACGATAGCGCGCATTTATAACTGCTATTTATTCGCAATTTCTCTCCCTCTCTTTTCCCGTCGGCGGAGCTTTTTCGCTCTCGCTCGCATGAGTTATATTATCCGATATATTAATAGCTTGCCCGAGAGATAAAATCTCTCATTTTCGCGATTATGCATATTAAATCGACAACTTGAACTAAAAACACTATACAATTTTATATATTGCTTTATATTTTCTATATTTTAATATTTGATACAATAATAAACTTTTTATATTATTTTAATATATTATTTCAATATATATTATATGTTTTATTTATTACTGGAATCCAATGTAATAAAATCATATTTTGCGCAAAAATATCATACCACACTTATTGGATGAGATTTACGTAGCTTGAAATATTTTAGTATGCCAAAAGTATTAATAAAATAATTAACAGCAAAATTAATTACTTCTAAATATCTTTCTTGAGAAATCTTGAATTTTAGAATTTTTCTTTGTTTAAAACAAAAGATTTCAATACATCACAGCAAATCCCATCTTTCCTTATATATATATTACCTATATATATTTTTTGTTTTAGGTGGAAGAGGGGTTGCGCGCGCACTTTAGGCACATAGGCGTCTGCTTCCATATTAATGTGAGTACTATTTCTTTATGCTATTTTTCTACATTTTTTGTTAATTTTAGACCCAAATGAATAATTTGAGACAGATATTTTTTGCTCAAATGAGATAAATTTTAAATGTCAAAATGTATATTTTAACGGTTAAATCTCATGAACGTCTGCTCCACAATTTTAATATTTAGATTGCCTACATTTTTACTTGCTAAAATTATATTTAAATATGACATGTTTTATAGTGTTTGGTACAGTTATATTTAATATTTCGAAAGCGGAGTCACAGCATAAAATCACAAATTTATCTTTGAAGTTGTGCAAAATGTTGCATTATAAAACGGCATGCAATAACAGAACAATTTACAGTTTCGAACACCCAGACAAATTTTATTTTCTTTGACATCCGAAATGTATATAAATTTTTCTATTGAATATTGGAAATTGCGGGTCAGGCACTTGGGATTTGGCCGCGCATTTCACATACAATCTTTCCAATGTTATATTTATATCGAGTTGGCAAGCGTCACGTCTCGAATCGAGAACGAACTCGTCGTCGCCCGTAAAAGTCGATTGATACGACGAAATCCGCCATGAGAATCCAATCTCCGAAATGGCACGGTAAAGTTCGGACGATCGCGACCAGTGCTTTTCTAATACCTGTCCGACGCTTTTCGTTGGGATAAGAAACTTTTCTTCCTTGCTGTTTTTTTCCTTTTCCTTTTCTCTTTGCGCGACCGGCGAAGGTCCTCATCCCGGAGAAAATCTAGAACCGATTGTATGGTCGTCCCATTCGAACGAATTCTGCTCGCTCCAATTTCCCATTCTGCCTGCGCGTAATAGTTCGACTTCGTTCTGGTAGAAATCACCGCGTATATATCTTCGGGCTAAAAATAGTCCGCGCCTGTAATACGAACTATTAATAACAAGGAGTTAATTTGTCTTTGAACGGAGTCAATTCGCAAAATTGCTTTCTTCTTCATCAGTATCGAAAATACAATTTTTTCTCATTTAATACATTTATTTGTAGGTTGAGTCTTTTATTTTATATTAATATTATTCTCTTGCTATACGCTATTTAAAACTATGCAATATTTAATTTCATTGATGAAATAATTGACGATAAAAGTTATCTCGAGTCACAAAGTTATTTCATTCGCACTGTGATTCATATCTGACGTGTTTTACATTTTCAATTTTACAAAATTTTAAAAAACGTTGCACGCAACGTTTTACACTCATGCACACATTTATTGTCAAGGAAGCTCGTCTAATTTAAGTCGTAATTAGCGCCGGAGGTGCGAAACAGCCGTTCTCCGCTGTTGCGCGTGTCACAACAAATTGAAATACGCGTCGAAACATTGTTCGACAAAACATGCTATTGTGCGCTGCGACAAGTGTATATATATATATATATATATATATATATATCTCACCGCATTGCGTTTATATCCCGCATTGCGTTTATATCCCGCGAGAAATTCTGCAGTTTTGCAGCGCCGCGGAAGCACAAATCTGGAGATTAAAGCGCGAACAATAACTGCGAGAATGTCCGACGCTCGGTTCAGCAAGCTCCATAAAATTTTCCGTCAGCAGTAAAATTTTTTTTAACGTTGCGTAAGCCGCTTTAAGATCTCTCCTTTTTTTTCTTTTTTGCGGCGAGGAGAGGAAACGGCGTCGATGAATCGCATTGAACATTTCGCGGAAGAACAATAACGTTATTATGCAGAACGCAGCGACACGGAAAAACTCCGCATTAAATAAAGAGCGGAAAGATAAATAAGCAAACGTATTAATGCGCTAGAGATTTTCATCTTTTTCGAGCCGCAGCTTTTAATTTAATTACAAAGTAAATGTTATACGGTCATTCCTTGCGAGACACTCGTGACGCGTTCTTCCGAGCGTGAAAAAGTTGCGTGCGCGGCCGGTTCGTAGAGATGCTTTATCTACCGCGGTCAACAATAAGTATATTTTATAATTCGCTTGTAAGCAACGTTATATACGACCGTGCCGTAATCGCTATGCTGTAACTCTGTGTGCGTTTTCAACGTAATTGTCGTTGACTTCGGTGAGTACGTACAATTTGTGATAATGTATCGCGTTGTCCACCGTAACTGTCTTTCCCTCGTGTGCTTCTGCTACTATAATTATCGAGTTTATGGTACTTCGCGTTATCGAATAGTCGCTTAAAAATGGCGATGGTAGATGTAATCGAAAGTTACACAGTATTTGAGAAGTAGCGATGTAGATATAAACGAATAAGTTATAATTATATATTGATTTACGACATGATTTTTACAAACAGATTATTCATCGATCTGCTCAATTTAACTTTAATACACACAGATAGTTTTCTCTAGCGTATTTTGATCTTTTTACGATAGAAACTTTTGGACACCAAAAGAAAATGTTTTTTAACGTAACGTTGAACAGAAATCACTCGAAAGTCAAGCTGTCATTAGTTATTCATATTTTTACGATTTAATCTTTTTCTGATTAAAAGTTATTTGAGATATTAGGTTTCGTTCATTTTGCGGATTCACCAGCGTGGAAAAAATACCGCGCGAGAAGTTGTCTGTAAGAAGGCAACAGGATAAGGCGCGAAATTAACGTTTTCCGTGCATTCGCTACACGCAGAGAACTACTGGCGTAACCATGTGCTCGTAGAGTAACGTGAGAGAACGGAGAGGAACTTTACAATCGCTTTGCGATTCTCGTGCGTTCCGAGGGAAGCCTCCGACGATTATTATTGCGAGTACGATGACGAACATTACCTTCAAGAATGTGGCTGCTTCGGGTCGCCGCACAAACATGAACGTAAACGTGGATGCATGTACAAAGCAGCAGACATATACCTGCGCTCGCGCGCGCACGTACACACACACATATGGTCACTCAACACTCACCCACACTCTCGCGCTGACGGGCTGTAATTCATAAATAATTTATGCCGACATTGCGCGGCGGTCACGCGATCTCGATCGTGTCATCCGCTTTTTACCTCGAAACAGCGCGGCCTCCGTTCTAGCCGCTCTGTCCCTGTCCCGAATCTATCAAGAGCGTTATCTCGACCATTGCTGATTTGCATGGACTCGATTACGATCATTGTGTGTCAAAATGCGGTAACTGATACCAGGACTGTAGAACTATTTTAATACTGATAAGATCAGTAGCGAACAATTCATATCATTTCTAAATATATCGGGTCAAAATAATGTGTTTTATTTTCCACTTTTGTATAATTCGTTCTAATTTTGAATCTTTTTAAAAATAGATTATTTTTCCAGTTTAAAACTAAAAAAATTACTTTTTTAGTTGTCTCTAATAGATTACACATCGATAATCTAATTTAAGAAATTACATTAGAATTTCATATATAATGTATAATTTAATTTTCTAATATTTTTAAACATTGTAGAATATTAATCGAGAATGATATATTAATTAAAACAACGATTCTGCTTTGAGGCTATATTACGATTAATGTTTAATTGGTTAACTTTTTTTAATATCTTAGATTATAATATTTCAGTGCAACATGTTGATAAATATGACACTATTTTGCTCCAACTTTAGATTAACTGCGGGTGAACAATTTCAATCCTTTGTGAACACAATGGGGTGCCGCCACCCGCAGCGCGATATCACGGCACTCGCGTTCAACAATTAGCCGTTGAAATACGACGAGTCGCGTTTTCATATCGATATTCGTTTGAAAGCGATCGAGAGCTCACTTTCAATTGTGGTCGTGCACGCTTCGGAAAATTGCCGAACGGCAGCATGGTTCGCGTTTTGGCCAAATCGTCGATGCTTGCTTATTTATGTCTTGACGGCGGTAGAACGCACATGGTGTAAACGCGTTATCGTTCGAGTCCTCATAAATTGCCTCACAACTTCGTATTCGAGATAAGAGTTTCACCGGCCGACTTGTAAGATACGTGCATCGCTAATCGTTTTTTTTTTTTCGCATTTTACTAGCTTGATGCACGTTACGTCGTTTGATCACGTCGTCTGACATCCGTATTGCATCGGACAGGGTTCGAATCGAATGCGCATGCATATTTTAGCATGCGTCAATCGGAGCTTTTCAGATTATCGTCGAAACTCCGCGTGCACGCAGATCATCGAAAACATGAATTATTGAAAATATAAGTCATTGATGGATAAAGGATTTAACTTCAGTTTCAATTTTCGATATTTTTTTTACATTCTCGATTTTCGTTGCGAATCCAAATGTGAAATCTCTGAAATATAAGTCCGCGTTGTATTGCATCGCTTTCGTTACATATGTATAGAACTGTGTAAACTTCATTACGTTAACAATCATATTATCTAAACGTTTATCCAAATTAATTTTCTTCTTACGTCACATCTGTACACAACTTGTGTTGGTTCGCTTTCTTCTACGCTTCGTCGTACGTGAATCTCATTTGTTACATAAACATCGATTATTTGTATGTTAATTATTGAACCACAGTGATAGCTCGGCGATAGTTCATCATTACCTAAGCGCATCATTGCATTTCCGATAAGGACACATGCACATGTGCATTATTGAGTAACCATTGCACACGATTCTTAGCACACAATAGTGCGCACTGAATTTTCAATCGAACACTATGTAACTTTCAGAAAATGTTGCGTAAATATTGCGACGTATTATCGGTGCTCAGTCGTATTATTTTATTAAGGACAAAAAGGATCTCTCTTAAAGTAATACACGGCTTATTTGTTTTTCTCTCATGTCAAATCGAAAAACTCTGCCTCGCTCCGGAAATGTTTCAAAATATCTTTAAAGGATGAAAATCAGAAAAATACAGGGCTGCAGATACCTTGTGTACACATATCGAATTTCGATATACGGAGGGTGCGCGCGTTTTTATTTGAAAGAGAAATATTTTCTTGCATAAACGATCTTTCTGGAAATAACGAGAACGAAGAGCCCTGTAAATTGCGCGTCGGAGCGGCGCGGCTTCGCTTTCTTCGCGATTTCCGGGGGCATTAGCGGAGGAGTACGTTGG